AAATCTAAATATTTTGTCTAAATTAAATTAACCCGTTGAAATCCACCCCCTAAATTTGGTCATACAAAAGTAGTCCCTAAACATTAGAAAAAAGGTCTATAATGTAATGTAATATTAGTGGAAAGCGGTCACTGGTGACCGCTTGGGGATTTATGGGTTAAGTTGGTATAGTAATTCCTCCGTTAATTAGAACATTAATATTACAGTTACAAACTAGTTACTACCGCGTGGTTGCACCCGCTATGCATGGTATCTGTTGACTGCAGCATGATGTTTTATAGCCTAAACTCTTCCAATAAATGGACTCTCCTCAAAATTCAAATCAGGCCAGTAAGTACTTCCGTTGCGTGTTCAAACAAACAAACTCTTCAAAGTCAAAATCATTTATTTCAATTAGACCAGGAAGGCACTTTTGAAAGTCATCAAAAAAATTAAAAGTGAAGCTATTTGCTCTTTCCAATGTGTAAATTCCTATGGAGAAGAACAAACAAGAAACTCCATAGGTTACTCTTTTCCAATCAGGTTCACAATACAATTCTTTAGTTACAAAGTTTTGTTGTTTTAGATTTATATAGTCTTATATCTTATACTACAAGAAGTACAAGTCTGACTTAAGGTATTATCTCGTTGAGTACAGTCATTATAGACACAATTGTAGAACAATAGGTTGCGGTCACCGGTAACCGCTTGGTGTTTGACAGTTTAAGGAGTGGGTGGGAAATGAGAAGATAGCTTCTTCTATCAGTAAACTCAGATATTCTAGGGGACCTAGAATATAGTTATAGTTAATAGTTAACCTTTTTAGCACCAATGTCACATATACGTGACAATCGAAAACTGTCCCTGGGCGCCAACAACACAAATACATGACAAAATAGTGGAACCGAAAACAAGAAATCAACAATTTGATTCCTTATTGGAATCCCTATTTGTTTCATAGAATTTTGCATGGAATTTGTGGCTTGGCGGTGAAGGGCGGTTCATGTGTTTTGGTCTGGCGTTCAAAGGTTAAGTAAACTATTATTGTTTGTCTTTACCATTCACGGGACCACAGGGTCCCGGTCATTTGGGAGGCGTACGAGGGGCCGAAGCCAACTGCGCAGAGGCCCTTTAGACAACTTTAATCTAAATGTAATGGAGACACAAACCGGCGACTATCCCTGTATGCACTATGGAAATGCACCCAAGGACAGTCCCCGGTTAGCAATTCAGACAAGCAGAAAATAACTAGAAAATGAAATACAAGAAACTATGAATAAAAGTTGCAAAGCAGGAAAATTATAATAAAATTTTCTATACTCACCTAAATCCTGTAATTATTATGGTAATTGACCCCATACTATTTTTTATAACCATTGTTTGTGTGGTCATAGATATTTCATTTAATGTTTAACACTTATTTTCCTCTAATTGGTAATATATAATCATGCCGCGGAGAACCTAACGGGTAACCGGGGCTCCGGCTCGACGTGCAGGAGAAGGAACGGGGTGGTTTTTAGTCAGTAAGAGTCTGACACTCCCTCCCGCCTCACCCAGGCGGGAGCAGTCATTCGATGATTTTCCCCCCTTAAAAAAAAAAAA